TTTATTAGGCAAAGATTGTTAGTGTTGTAGAGGTAGGCTCAAATTCAGAGTTGTTCCTTATTCACAAGGGGGTCAAATTTTCAGAAAAGGCTGGCTCCCTTCAGGCACCTAAATTAAGTGCCCAGATCTTAAGAACTGTGTGCCACTTGATAGCATCTACTGTTTGCAAATGCCTATACTTCTTTTTGTGCTATAGTACATTCAAGATGAAATTTTCTTTTATGGTCTATAATAACATCATGCAGCTGAGAGTTTATTAATAGTCCACAATTGTTAGTCTGAAAACCTGTAAGTATCTATTACAGTCTTAGGTTTGAAATGTGTTCAGTTTGACCTTGCTGTGCTGCAAAAATGTTATCTCTTTCTCCAGCTTTGTTTTTGGGGGAATGCTTAAATTCAGCTTGGGGGTGAAGTCAGGTCTTTTTCAAAACTCCTGCTCTACTTAGGTCTTTTATACAGCACTTTAATCAGAGTTGTACATAGATTTGTTGCAAGCTGAAGTTACCTTACAGTTTTTTAATAACAGTACTGGAGGGATAGTGAAGTGATTTTGTTTCAAAGAAATTGAAAATAGTTTTAGGCATACAAGATACTTAAGCCCAGCTTGCTAAAACAAGTTGACATGAAAACTCTTTACTGTTCTTTGCTGGTAAGCTGGGCTTTTTCACTCACTATTTTCATCATGTTACACATCCAAATTCCTATTGTTTTTTCTTACTTTGTTGCAAAAAACCCATATTTTTCTGTTTTGAAGAAGAAAGCTGGTGTTTTGGAGGATATCTAAGTGTCATATCTGTGGAACAAAATTTGGTTGCATTCTTACTGTGTCTTCCTCTGTCTGATCTGATTCATTGTGTTACATTATGTATGTGTGTATAGGGAGAATGGCTGTAGAAAAAAAATCTTGGTTTCATATTTAACAGAATCTCTTTATAAGGTGAATGTTTCATTGATGTCACTCCATTAGTCCAAGTAAATAAAATTGAGCTCTGCTTCGGGAAGCTTGGCTCATATCAAAATGATGAAAAGTTCTTTGTTCTGTCTGTGCTCAAATCAAGTTACTTAAAGCTATTTTAGATGCTGAAGAACAAAAGCAAATAACAATACCTAAAAATTGCAGAGAACTCCTTAAATATCACATTTTTTTCACTGTGGAGTCAAGCTGAAAATTTTTGGTTTTGGACATTGTAGGAGGTCTGCCTAGCCTTTGAGAAATGGAAATTAATTGTTCCTAAAAACAAGAACCTCATGGGTGTACTCTTGCATTCACTTTTTCTTGAAGTTCTCAAGGAAAAGGAGTGACCAGATGAGGATTGTCAGGGTTTCTGAAACTAAGTAAAGTGTGCAACCTGATCAGTAACATAATTCAATAAATTTCATCTTCTCAAATGCTTGGAGACCTTACTTACATCACCCTGAAGATGCCTATGGGTTTTAAACAAAAAGAACTGTATTGTCAGAACAATTCTCCTAACGTATTTAAAGTATGGGGGTTTTGTCAATACACAAATACTGCTCCTTATCTCAAAGAAAAATCACATCTTATTTCTGTGTTGTCAGAAGTATCTAAACATTATGGAAGCAGAGTTATTTAGCCGTGGGACTTCTGTGGCTGTTACTGCATAACATCATTTTCTCTAAATCATGGAAATCGCAGACTGCTGTCCTAGACTGTGTCATGGTCTTCTGACAGAGACATGCACTGCTGCCTTACATGAGCATGCTGGTGCTCTGCAGATTGCTTGGCATTTGGGCATTTCTTAGGAAGGCTGTCTAATTTCACAGAGTCATTGCTGAGTCCTGATGAGGCCTTATATTAAGAGTACTTGCCAGTACTGGTTCCTCCTTCCACACAGTGTCTGCATGTTGGCTGCTCCTTGTAAGGAAACCCACCACTGCCTAAAGTTATTGTTGTTTGGTTTTTTTTTCCTAGAGAGATATTTAATAGGTGCCTTTAATGTAGTATTTAGCAGACACTCAGACTGACTCTTCTGACAGAAACCAGGACAGTTGTGCTCTCCATGGGGCATGCAGGAGTTACAGCAGGTTCTCTTCTCACATTAGGCAGTGACATGAGAGAATGATGGAAATAAAGGCTAAAGTAATGATGAAACTCCATGACAATACAGTAATGAACCCCCAAAGTGTATGAATTGTGCTGTTTGTGGTCTAGCTGGGTTTTTTTGAGATGCTCTAGACCTGCTTAGAAACTGAGACTCGCTGAAGTGTGTTGTGATAGTCCCGTATCAGCGCAGCACCGTGTGTCTGCCCGGACTGTGCAAGAAGGTTTTCTGAGGTCCTTCTGCAGAAGGCGCACTAGCTTTGCAGCTCTCCCTGTTTGAGGAAAATAAAAAAACGGGCGTTTCCGAAGAGCAGAGGCCTTGGCCGACCAGGATGAGACTGAGAGGGCGGGCGGGCCCGGCCCCTGCACGGCCCTGGTCCGGCTGCGGCGCCCTGACTGAACTGCGCGGCTGCCGCCTCCAGGTGGCAGCACCGGATGCCGTTTCCCTGCTTCTCACAAAATGTCTACCGGCCAGAGGTGCCGGCGGAGAAACTTTCCGTGCTTCCCCACTGACCTCCGGCTGAAATAAGAAATCCTAGGAAGAGCCCTGGGGATCAGCGGCCGGGGCCATGCCCAGCGCCTTCCCGGCGGCCGAGGCTCGGGGGCGCGCCTGCCTCTGTTCCCTGGGGGACAGGGTCTGCGGGGAAAACCCCCTAAAAGTGGTCTGCAGAAACGTTGTTTCTAAAACAGTGCAATTAGTAACATTTATTTGACTTTTAAAAAATTTCTTGAGTGACCTCTTTTGCTTGCGAGTTAGTAAATATTTTAATAAGTCTAGTAAATAATTCAGGAACACATCCTGGAACTTTATTATTTAGTTTTGTCACACAAAGTTCATGACCGTATTTTTAGTGTTACATTCCTTTGCCATACGTGCAACCTTGCAGTTTTGGTGAGGTTGGAAAGCTTAACCTGTGATGCGGGTAATTTAATTATAGCCCTGAAGATTTTCATGTCAGTCACTTTGATTTTTCTTGATGTCATGGGAAAAAAAGAATTCAAAGAAGTTCACTGGTTAGTCTCGTCCTATTCATTTAAAAATTACCAAAAACAGATATAATTGTTTTCCCTCCACCCATCAGATAGTCCCTGTTTGGTTTACCAAGTAGAATAATATGACCAGTGTGACCTGGTCTGAGAAGATACCAGTTAGCGTGCTGAAATGGATTAATTGAACCTACTAACTATTCCTGAACGGACATAATAGATAAAATAGGTCCCAAATCCACAAGATAATTAAGGTAGGCATGTTATTTAAAAGCCTGATTTGGAGTCCCTTTGATTTCACTGGGGCTGTTTGCACACCAAAAATTAAATGTACACTTGAATCGTCACAGCATTTTTCCTCTTGTTTTCTCCAGCCAAAACAGCTAAGAAAGTTCAGATAGGTGTGATTTAAATTCTTCCAATTAATCACTTTTTATTTTCAGTTAAATTATTACAAAATGTCCTGATGCTTATTTGCTGTAACTGGTTTTGACTGAATATTGGAAAACTGTAGTTGTCTGAGGACCAAAATTTACCTCCTTTTATCTTTAATTTAATTAACTATTCTGTTCTATATTTGCCTTTTGGGAAACAACTAAAGATAGATTTCTAGACGAACTTTAATGGCATCTGTATTGGAAAGTTGCAACGGTGTTTTTTCATTCCACTTCTGAACTCAGAGTAAACGGAGAATTTTTGTTTGTATTCCCCATTACTATCTTAGATCCATCTTACTGCATACTTAGTTGATTTTTTGCAAAATTTTAATACTAAACTCAGGTCCCCTTTCTAAACCTTTTATCTGCTATCTGTGTGTTGCAGAACATAGTCTTTGTTTTCTAAAACAGCAAATATATTACCAACCCTTTGAGAAGAAAAAAAGAAACAGAACAAAACCCCAAACAAAACCCCATAGTCTTTTTGGGGGATACCATATGCATTAGAGTGTAAAATAAGCCATTAGCAATGTTTGCTTTGTTTGCTCTTCCTTTTAATGAGTAGAATAGAACTGTATTAGAAGTTTACGAACCTCTTAGAGGTGAATTGTTACCCTTGTGCATTGACCTTTGTTTCTTTTTGATAAAATTAAAATTGGGAAGATTGATTAAATTTTAGTGAAACCCCTCTTCTCTCAAGAACCAAATAAACATTGTTTTTGTATTTGGTTTACGATTGCAAAATAGATGTTCACAGTAACGATAGTAAAATCACACATATAAAATCTTTTCTGTAAAGACAATCTATATCTGCCTCTATAACACAACTGTTTATGTGTGCAATAATATTTATCTAGTTTAACTGAATATTGTTCCCAAACCTTGTCTTCAAGTCTCCTGCTACTGTATAGTAAGGTTGAGAAGAACTGTAAAATCTAGCTTCACTTTCTATTTGTTATCTTTCTTGTTCTTTCTATACTAATTATTAAATTTGTTATTGACATTTACACAAGATATGGGTTAATACATGGTTATCTGTTACTTGGCTTAATTAGTCTCTGTTAAAAATATTTTTTAAGTGCTTCTCTTTGATCCTCTTAATAATAAAGTAAGCCATAGTTTTCTGAATGTTTTCTTCTGCATGCTCATTTGATTATTTTTTTTTTCTAACGTGCTATTTGCTAGAGTTAACAAAAAAACTGTAAAGGGGATACATGGACTTTTTAAAAGGTTGCACATGACAAAGGATGACAAAACCTGTGGATTTTTATTAAGTTTACTTTGGCAGTCTTGTTCCTAGGGCAGTGAACTTTGTGCTTGCTTGCTTATTTACTTATTTGTGATTGAATCAGTATTTTTAGGATCTCTTTTGTGTATTTATTTGTTTAAAATCTTGAGTTCTGGCAATCAAAAATAAAGCATTTTGTCTCCACTGCTGCCGTTTTAAATGCTGCTGCTGAATTTTAACCACTGCATTAGATTGAAACCTACATGCTGTTAACCACTGAGCCAAAATGAAATCGACCACTGCATTGAAATCAGAGTTGGCAGTTGTGTACGGACTTGAAGGAGTTGGTAATAGCAGTGCACCCGTGTTTCTTTAATGGGGTTATTATTCTCTGTTTTCAGTTTTAATGGTGCCATTTTGATTTAAAGACTGTTTCTTAATAATGATGCACATTTTTATTGAAATATTTTCAATGTAACTTAAGAAGAAAATAACAATAAAGCCATCCGTTAGGAGTGATTTCCTCAGAAACAAAATGTTCTGTTGCATGCTCCCATGATAATGCAGTGTGCTTGTTTTATTTATAAAGCAATCTTGCGTAAGAAGATAAGTAAGAAGATCTATTCATGTTTCATGAACCTTTATTCGTGGTTAAAAATGGTAAAATGTATCTATGTTTTATAGAGGATGTTTTGCTAAGGAGAGATTTTCAGCTTCTGAATTTCCATTTTGTAACTTTCTTTTGAATCTGCTTCACCAAGCATATGAAAAATCAGTCTACTTGCATGGTTGACCTCTTAGTCTTTTGAAATTTTTGTTTCTTATTAATAGGACTGGATCCCTCCCAATTCAGAGTCCATCACTGTTACCATAAAGATGAGGAAAATGATGCCTTGGTTGGTGGCCGAGCTCAGCTCACTGATGAGGAGAAATATAGGGATTGTGAAAGATTCAAGTTTTGCTGCCTCAAATGCGGAACAGAAAATATTTATGACAGTGTCTTTGATGGTTCGGTTAGTTTTTTTTCTGTTTCATTTCTGTTAATCGGTGAGGGAGAAAAATACTCGTAGAGAGAATAGCTTTTCAGATGGGATTCAGATGATGTAGGAGAAGGTACCATATTGTTTGAGTCCTGCTATTTAAAGACTTGGAACAGAAATTTGCTGATAGGATAGTGCCGAAATATTTTTCCCATTTTTGCATTTCATCTGTGTCGTCTAGCAGAACATGTGAGATTATCTGGCTTCATTAATCTGTTTGCCCTCAGTCCTGGATGATTGTTGTAACTTTTTAAGGAACCCTTATCTTAACACCTTAGTAACTTCCAGTTCTCTATGTAATGAATCTTTCGTATGGCAATGGCAATTTCTTATCCTAAATCATATTAATTGGAACAAAATGTTTTTGTAACTTGTGTTTATATTGCTACATTCCACCTCCCTTCTTGACAGTAAGGTTTTTCTGTTATCTTTCCTCTGTCTTTGTGTATTGAACATAAAAAGTCATAGGGGTACATTCTTGTTGAGAAGTTCTGCCAAAAAATGTATCGTTGACCTTGGATCACTACTTGAAATAAGGCCAAGTATTTACAGCAATGTTATGTACGTATTAGTCGTTGGCAAATTAGTGAGCTTCAGAGTAGTGAAAACCTTGAAACTGAAAGCAAATAAATCTTTTATCTAAATTAAAAGTAATTATTTTAAGTTAATTTGGACAAACAGCAGATGTTTTGCATTTTTTAAAATGAAAATAAAGCAGCCTTTGGAAGCAAGTAAGAGGAGGAGATGCACAAATGGAGTGATACTTTGTGGATCCTTGACTTTTGTTCATTACAGCTGTAAATAGGATAGTTAATTGCATGTAGTCTTGACAACTTGCAGATGGGCTAACTGGAGAGAAGTGGATGCAAACTCAAAAAAAACCCCAAGCCCCGCAGAAAAAAGAAACCCCAAACCACCAAAGAAGAAAAGAAACCCCTGAACCAAACAAAAAATCCCCTCTCTTCCACCTGGAATTATTTGGTGTTGTGGGTGGGAGTTTAGCCAAGATGGCTCACAAAAGCAAGTCTTACCTGGAAAGAAAATTTTCTAAAAATTGTATCACTGTCCAGCCTACCAGGTTGTTTTTATTTTAATCAGAATTCTACCTACTTAATTTTGCCTGTTCATGCATCACTTCAGGGTTCTGAAGTTTTAATGTCAGGTGTTCAGAAGGTTTTGAAAGTAAGGGGAATGAGATGGTATAAAACTGTTAGACCTGTTCTTTGCACTTGGAGAAAATAGATGATGATCATGTCGTTCTTGTTTAACAAGGTTTGTCTCTACAGCCCTGTTGGTAATTTCATAGTTGATATCTATAATGTTGGTACTGATCAGTGGCTTCAGGCAGAACTTTGGTGTTCCTGATAAAACAACAAACCCGTGTTGTTTACGGGCTGATGGGGGGAGCGTGATTTGTCCATAGATTAATTTTTTTTTTTACTCAACATAATTTTTGGAACGATTAACTTTGTAGCGGGTGAAGAAGCATGTTTTACAAAAGACCTTTCATAAGAAGAGGATGAGAAAACTGTAGGTCAGAGAAGTGTTTATATGGATGATGCCAGCTGTGATGGGAAGAAAGAAGGCCTAGATGTTAGAGGCCCTTTAAGAGTATTGTTTCTAAAAAAATATGTATTATGTCTAGGCTCCTGTGATAACTTCTGCTACCATCATCTGTTGTCATGATGCATGCTGTTTTTACACTTCTGTTTTCAGGGGCGATTTATTGAACACAGCTTGCAAAGGTGCAGTAAGACTGAATGTGAAGAGCCTCCTTTCAACTATGTGATTCAAATGAACAACAAATTACTGCTGGATATTAGACGTTACATCAGAAAATACTATAATGTAAGTATTCAGAAAATATTCTGCCGTATGAAGTGAGTTTCATAAGTGGTGCTGAGTTTTTAGTGACTTTCGTATAGTCCAAGGTAATCGCATGCAAGGTCAAAACCCAACTTTATGAAAATAAAACAATCAATTAATGATTTAAAATACTAATTTAGAATGTTTGTTTTCTTAGTTCAGTCTCAAGTCAAGATAGTCAGATGTATTTACATTTATGTAACTGTGTCAGCATTATTACAGATGTAGTATCTCTGTTTTCCAGATTTTTAGATCAAAAAATGCAGTGTTGTTTATCTTAATGCTTTTGAGAAAATCTGTGAAGCCTATCAAATATGCAGATATCAGTTTCTCATGTAATTGAAATCTGATTCTCTTTCTCCAATCCAACTTGATGTGTATTATGTTACATTGTGAGAAGGAAAAAATGAATGTAGTTCTGTCAAAGTTCTTTGAAGAACAATAGGAAAGGAAATACTAAGAGTCTGTCTTCATAATGATTGGAAAGGCAAAAAAGAGTAGGAAGATGGGTAGTTAATTTATTTTATATCATTCTCTTTTTTGGGAGGCAGTGCAAGAAATCCACAACGCCAGTGGTAAGTGGTTGACTTTGT